TGAATGACTACCAACAAATTTATCCCTTGTATGAGTGAATACGATTTCTGAAAAATTGTTCAACTGTGATAATGGGAAAACATAATACTTAAAAAAAAAGTATTGTAACGAATCAATTAGTATCATAAAATGTGTAACCAACCATTTTTTTATTAAATTCACTAAAGGGTTTTGATTGGTCAAAAGCCTTTTGGTGTCATAAATCTCTCATTTTTTACATATGATACCCATTGATTGGCTACAAGTTTTTTTGGCATCATGACTTTTTGGAGTCATATTTGGACTCTGTAATATAATGTCTATCAATATTTGGTTTTGATGACGAATTTAAACCAATTGTCACTATTATTTGTATTAGCATAAGAGCACGTAATTTGCACATGTATATAATATAATGTTAAAAATGTATGGGTATATATTATATACATTCTAGGCTTTGACTAATTTGTCATGTAAAAAAATTGACAGAATTATTTTTTTCATCAAAAGAATATAAGGAAAAGATTTTCATATTTAAAAGTAGATTGAGTATTAAACATTGAATCAATAATCAATCGCAATGTGAAAACAATTTAAAGTCCAAAACTTATGTAAGTTTTAATTGATCGAGAAAGATCATTAATTTTATATGTATAACTAAAATCTATAGATAGAAAATTAAATTTTCATTTCCTAATCTATACTATATATAAAAGTGGAAATACAATGTGAAATTTTTTTTATACTAAAGTTACCCTCTACTTCTTTGTTTGAGAAAATGTATAAAACCATTTTATTACAGCTTTAATGCCAACTTTAATGGCTAATAAAATGCCCATAATTGTGTATTTAGTCAATCTCTAAAGGTAAGGGTTGAAAATGTAACTTCAATTATTACTCTCCACCTCATTTAATCCTTTCTCATTAAGTCATAATTAAATTATTAATTCCCATTTTTTCTTATAAAATCTTATAGTTAAGTTATTTTTTATCAATAAATTCTATTAATAATATTTGTGTCAATATTTTTAACATAAACCCATATATTTTAAAATTGGCTCAATAACAAAACCATTCATTTTCTAAGTGGTGGCTAAAAAATTCAACCATTCGAATCAAATTGATCTACCTACGAAGTCATAATTAAGTAATAAAGAGGTGATAGATTGGTGAAAAGGGTCATTTCAGCAACTTGAGTATTTTTAGTTTTCCAATTATACATTTTAACTGTTTCCATTTCCAGGAAAGGGTTATGCCAAATACTTGAGTAAAAGAGTGATCCCAACTTGAGACACCTTTCTTTTTTTTAAGGTAATCCATACACTGAAAGAAACTTGTTGTTAAAACCATTAAAATGAGAGATAGCCATAAACACACAACACCCCCTTATCAGTAGTTGAAAACATTAAAATATGGGATAATAACAGGCTAATTAGACTGTTGGAACTTTCACTGCAATCTCCCTAATGTAGGTACATAGCGCCCATTCAAACCCTGAGATAACATCAAACATCAATATTAGCACCACAAAGTTATGAGCGAGCGACCCGCAATCAATCCCCATGTTGCGATGAACCGACAACACACTATCAACCCTGCGATGAACTCCCAATGCGTATCGTAGAACCGCGATAAACCCGCAGCCCACCGGGCTTGCTTAGCACTCGAACCAAAGAAAACATCTATCGAATTCGTCCAAGGGACTTAAGCCTACTCGAGTGTGTGATAAATCCACGCCCACCAAGGTTTGCAATAAACCAACGACTTATAAACCCACTCGCAAACTAGACTGAGAGAAACCCAGGTTGAGCCCGTGGTAAGGCATGCATGGAACTGTAACCATGTGGAATGCATACCATCAAAAGATGTTGCGAGATGCTACATAGGGTTAATGTGACGATGCTCGCCAAGCGGTGATGTCATTAAACACCACGTTGGTTAAAACAAAGTGCACGAAAGGAAGTTGCACACGTGAGTAATGAGGGATCTTGGGGAAAAGGAAAGCCGATCCTCAAGAAAATCATCTCATGAGACACGTGGCGAAACCCCAGTAGTGCACTTAATGATCGATAGCAAATCCAATATTCCCTTTTCCCAATACGATGCAAATGTCTTTATTTCCTACCTTTTAGGATATTGGGACCTCCTCCATAAACAGGGGTCCTCTTCGTATTGAGAATCATCCTGTCTTTAGCATTCGTCACTCAACACCCCCAGGTACTCTCTCTCCAATTCCCTCTCTCATAGCCTTAATCCATAAATCTTGTTCTCCCCACTCACATGCCTCTCATTGTCTTTCAAAGAGACTGCTCCCCTCCAAGCCTTACTCCACCTACACCTATCATGAATGTCATCCAATCCACAAATAGTAATAAAAAGAATAACAAATAAGAAGAATGAAAAAGGAAACACAAATAATGGTGAACCGTGCACATACTTGATTGTTGAAGACAAAGCGTATAGATGTGGAAACTTGTCTAGATATGAGAAAGAAGTGGCAAAATAAAATGGAAAAAAAGTTATTACAGTCGAAACTTTTGTGTGCATTATATCTAGAGCCTAGATCTATTTGGATCCTAGATCTATGCATGTGAAGCTCAAGTAGTTGTAACATCAGATCTACTATTACCTTGGTTGGGTCTGGAAGGGAAGACTTCAGCCCAGATGAAGATCGACCTTACCTCATCGCAGGATCCTTACAACCCATATGAGATCTACAACATGAAATAGGACACAGAGTCATAAAAACAACAAGAGGAGATGGACAAAGGATTATGTTACCTGATTATTGATCAGCGATGATCATGCAATGGTCAGAGATGGGGGTGAGAAAGTTACCGTTCGAGGGCAGAATGTAGTAGATCTCCCTTTCACTCGAAACAACAGCTCTTCGTTCAATTGAACAACACAAACATATACCCTATTTACATCGTTATCCATAGAGCATAAGTTCGTATCCAAAAAATAGGTACAGTAATGCACTCTTGAAACGACACAAAGTTGCTTGTTAGAAAAAAACAAATTTACCTTCTTAATCGATACAGTTATATATGCCAAACAAACACAAACCCGGTTACATAAGATATAGCCTATGGTACATAAATACCCCAGTTCGGCATTTATATCATAAGCAAACAGAGCCTAAGTATTTACCCAAGTAATGGAGTTGGTTTGCAGTGATCCATTTTCTTTTAATGCTATTTCTTTTTAATTTCTTAGTGGCTTAGGTTGAAGTTTAGTAATGACCAATAATTTTACAGTTGTTGGTTAGAGAAACCTGAATTGGGTATATCTGTTAGGCTCAACAAAGCTTTGATGCTAAGCATGGGTAGAATGTCTATCTGCGAAGCCCAATGAAGCTCTGATGCTAAGCATGGGTAGTAGGTTCTATTTATGAAACTCAATGAAGCTTGGAAGCTTTGCTATTTATGAGGGAATCTATTTTATTATTTATAAAGTTTTTTATGCCTTTTTGTATATCTCATGTAAATAGAAACAAAAATATGAAGGCTCATAGTATATAGCCTATGGTGTGTATACAAAGGAGGTGGATTCTTTCCAACTTCCAACTAATAAACTAGATGTATAGAACTTCATAAACTAGCACGTACTTCCTAATGTTAGCATGAGCTTGTCCTTTTCTTGGTGGTATTAATGTAGAATATCAAGGTCCTTGCACTTGCATTACATAAATATTGTTGATTATATGGACTTTTTTTTTTTTAATTTTTTATGCTGTGTTTGGTTGCAATACAAGTAAATTTGCACTGATGCAAAACCATGAAAGTGCAAATGATTTGAATGTAAATTTTGACCTATTTCTGTTTCAAAATTTATCTTATTTTGTTTGATTGCAATGTAAAACCGAAAACATAACTAAATGAGAATTTGCATTTTTTCCATTTGCACTCCCACACATTTCTACTAATGCAAATAAAATTGCACTGCAATCAGGCGCAACCTCATGTTCATTCAAGCTTCAAGTAACTTTGTTTTACCATTCTAATATTTTCCTTATTTATTATATTAACAAAGGCCGTGCATGGGTTCCAACTATGCCAATAATTATGAATAACAATAATTTGTTAACTATAGTTAATAATAATTCATTGATTTTGTTAATTTTGTTATAATTAACTAATATTGTAAGATTATACTTGGCTTGGATCAGATGGCCAGTCTATAAAAATTGGGAATTGATAGTCTTTTTGAGTCCCAACTAAATGACAATTTTCATGGGCTTTTATAAGCTAAATGGGTTAATTACCTGATTAACCCTAAATGTTAGACCCTAACCCTAAATGTTCGGGTTAGGGTCAATTCAGGTCATCCCAGAAAATAGCTAAAATTAAAAAAAATAAAGAAAAATTATATAAAAAATGTCAAAATTAAAGAAATTAACTTAAAATTCTAAATATAAAATAAAAAACTTAAACATTTAACAATTTAAAGAATAAACAATAAAAAATAAATACTTTAAAGAGTGGAAAACTGGAAATAATCCCAGTTAAACTTAACAATTTGGTCAGCGGGTTGACCCATTACCCAACCCGTCTAAGTTTTATACATTGCAATAATCCGAACTCGTATTGTAAATTTGTAATAGGGTCTCAACACCTGCGAGGTCCATGCATGATATGGAAATGAGGGAATTACAACAACATGGCTATTTAGAAAAAGGGCAGTTGACGATTGGTCTGTTGATTTGTACCGGTGGATTCTGGATTCTGTCGTTGTTATGTAAAGAGGAAGGGAAATTATTTGCTTAGAGCGGCAGAGGTAGTTAACCGTACGATTTTCTGAAGGGCTCGAGCTGGTGTTGGGAAGTGGGATTGGAATACACGTGGACGCTACAGATGTTGCATTGCGCCAAATCATCGCTAATCTGCATTGGCTTCTCTCGCGTTGCAGTAAATCATGTATCCCAAGGATCCTACGGTCAATTTTCTGTCGCAGAAGACCTCTATCTGAGTCCATTCCCATATAAACAAGATTCCCTGCTAATTAGAATGGTTGCTTGCTCCAAGACATCATAGAGCCAATACTCGACACAGCAAACTATAAGACTCTCAGCGGACGATATATTGTACATTTTGGTGGTATTGGACTCCAGGATCGTTGTCGAGGGTTTCTTGAACCATTTCCCCATCCCATCCTCTTCAAATAGAAGAATTAACCAGCAAAGGCGTACGCCATTCTCCAGATCAAGGAGTACGTCCTGTTTGTTTTTCTCTGTTCTTAATTTTTTTTCTCAGATCGCGAACTACTTTACATGTTTCATCGTTTTATTTAATGGTTTATGCCTTTTCTATCCTTTAATTTTGTAGGGCTTGCAAATTCCACATGCAGTTACTCATATTTCTCTGAAGAGGAAGAATATACACTCGTTTCGTCGTTCATCTTTCGGATTCAAGGTTTATCCAGAGATCTGGTTTGAGACTCTTAATGTGGTAGTCTTATTGTCTTCTATAGTTGTTAAAAATTTCAAATGTTGGCTTCGAATCTAGTTAACTGAGGAAGAAAAGCCAATTTGCACATATGAAATCGTACTATGAATCTTTTTTTTTTTCGGTTATTGGTTACTTATCTCGGGAATCACTTTCCCCTTGATGCTTTACCAGATGAGTCTGCAATTCTAGGATCTATTTACATATTTTTTTTCCTTCCCGGTTTGCTGCTGTTGAGTTGATCTTGTGCAAATGCATGAATTAATATTGTTAAGTATATACATCATTGATTTGTGCTTTACCTTTGGTTGCGCATGTTTCCATGTAAAAAGGATAGAAAACAAAATTTTAGCTGTAAAAGTGCCAAAATACAACTGTTATTTCGTAGATTGAAAAAATTTTCTGCCCTTTAATGGTGAAACAAGTAGAGCCTTCGAAATTTATCATGCTTCGTTCTGAAAGGTAGTATACTGTCTACTGGCACAAAGCAAAAAAAAAAAAAAAAAAAAAAGACGTGGGGATCTATGTTGCCTCTTATGCTGTGAGTACTTACAATGAAACTTAACAAATGGTGTTAGATATATATATATATATATATATATATATATATATATATATATATATGGATTTAACAAATGGGATATCCTAACAGCGTATATTTTGCAAGGGGTCCATTCACTCCATTGCTTGGTGCAATGGAGAAATCCTGGGTTGACAAGAGTGAGAATGTGGGTTTGGGACTGAGTCCTACCACTTTGTGCAAAAAGCCAAAGGCTAGGTCCATATCCAACACACCTCTTGGAGTACTCTGGATAGATGGGACTAACATTGTGTAATGGCCCTTTTTATATGGAGTGTTTTGCTAGTGCAATGGGAAGCTGATAGGTTGACAACATTTGATGCCAAGACAGGGAATGTGTCTACCTATTAATGAATGATAATTGCTGTTGTTGTCATTATCATAATCACTATTATAAGTTCATTTCGAAATACATGGTTTGGTTGAATTCTTTTATGTTTTTTTGAACTTTAACACCAAAGCTCTTAGATGTTTTTTGATTACTTTCTTAAGTATTATTGACTTTGTCATGCAGTAGTTGAGGCCTTTTGGGTATTATGGAAGGATCTTATAAAAGCTACTTCATTAGGCTGTTCTATGATGTTAATGGTGAATGTTTCGCACTTCATAGAAATGACCTAAATGGAGACGTTGTAGTTGGTTCCTTGGATATCCCCTTATTCTTTTTTGATGGTATTGTGCCTGCCAAGTGAAGATGTAGATATGTTCGTGTGTGTGTGTGTGTGTGTGTGTGTGTGTGTCTGTGGAAGCTTGGAGTTTTTGGGTGTGGAGTTTTTTTTTGTGGCAGTTTTAGCCTTTTGTGGAACACAATCTTTGTGTTGTTGTGCTCAGTTGTAGATGCATAGTTCGGTATCTTCAAATTCTGAGGTATATGATGCAAGGCATTCCATTTTCTTGAAGCATGATAAGCCTCACAAGCATCCATTTTTTAGATACACACATCTTTTATATAATAAAACCAATGTTTTCAACCCGCTGTTGAATCAGTTGGTCGAACCGTTTGAACTGTCACCTTGCCAAGATTCCAGATCCGGTTCAGTCAGGATCCGTCAGATGGTAAAAAACTGTTGACTTGGTCAAGAACCGTTCAACCCGGCCGGTTCGATCGTTGACCCATTCGACCTGGTCAAATTGAAAACTTTCGGAGGCCATAACTTTGCACTCTGATGTCCAATTGGGGTGTTTATTTTATTTTATTTTGGGTAACATTTCGAGATCTATGCATCCTAAGGAGCCGTAGACGCCTTGTCCTACTATTTTTGCTAAAAAACCCTTTTTTTGGCCTCAATCTGCAATTTTAATAATTTTTTATAAATAAAAAAATTAAAACTGAATTAAAAAACATAATTTAAATATAAAATAATACATATAACATATTTATACACATACACACACATATGCGATGATGTGGCACGGTCTTAACTGTTTGACCCGGCCAGTCGAACCGGTGACCCACGACCTGGAGGCAAAAACGGTTTGGCCTCTGGGTCGGTTTTTAAAACATTGAATAAACCCCCCGTAGTTGAATCTTGTACCCTCGATTGAGTAAGCTAACTACTGGTGTCTTTGGTTCGATGCTTGGACCCTCCAGTGATCCCTAAATGGTCTTTAATGGTTCCTAGTGTTCCCTCCAAACTTATAACAGAGGGGTTTTCTCAAGCCTATAGTGTCAACTCTCCAATCTCCATTGATGTTGGTAAAGTGAAAGGGTCTAAAGGTGTTGATAATTGATATTTATATGTTGTTATAACTTTCAATTATTTATATATTGATTTGGTGTAATGGTAAAATATCGGGCTGTCAAGCGTACGAATGCAGGTTCAAGTCTGAGAACAACCACTTTGTGCAAAAAAAAAGGACCTTATCCAGTATTATGGGTATAAGAACTTTGGTTAAACAATAATGATTATTTGAGTTAAAAAATAAAAGATAGTTTTCTTAAATGAAATATGGGTGTATTAATCTTTCACATAAGACTTGCACATATCTGGCATGCTTGATGCTTATGCCTGACATAGAGGTCTAATAAACTTATGCATAACATATGGGCCTTGGGATTAAGGAATGCTTTTCAAGGTTTAACCTCGTATACATCTGAAAAGAACGGTAAGGGTGTATGGTCTAGTTAAGTTGAGCATAGGAAATTAATGTTACTGTGCTGTAAGAGATTGTCAGCTATCTCATATCATTTGGAAAGTCAGGTTATTAACACAGTGTCAACGTCTTCTTCCATTGCATGCTGAATGGAGACTGAAGATATTATGAATGAGCTTGCAAAATCTGGGTTTTGGATATATAATATATAAGTGGGCATCGGTGATGTTGTTATCCAGCTATTTGTGTCGGTCTTTTTGTATCCCTTTTTTGCTAAATCTGAGCTTATGCTCACCCACTAAATAAGTTCAAGAATGATGTGAAGAGATTTTTTGCATTCTGATTCTAATTGGAATATCTTGTTTTCCCCTTTCAGACAGGAGCTATTCTTTCAAGAAAATTCAGGGCAAACAAGGCTTCTTTTCAGTGAGGAATGCTTTCCTGCAAATCTGTTTGATATTTTCTGCAATGGCTGGGATTATTAATGTATTTCCTCTTCTTCCAACCTTTCTTTTGACATTCTCAGACATTGGAATTTTGTTTTTGTTTTTGCTTTTGGATGGTAGGGGTATACTTTTGGTGTCAGTGGATAGTACAATATACATTAAATCATGCTCATGATGGTTGCTTTGAACTTTTTATTGAGTATTTTGATTTATGCTGGACTCAATTCTTTGACTTAAAAAATGTTCTTTTAAGCTACTTCCTTCGATGTTTTTGCTAGCTGCTTTAAATATTTTTGTTTGTCCGCATAAAATACATGGAATTTATGATTGCAGTCAGGGTCATCTTCAAATCTTCCAGACACCACTGGACGACCATATGCAACATCCTTCTCTGTTCAATCTGGTTCTTCTGGTCCTGGTTTTCATCACACTGGTTAGCAGTTTATGCTTTACTTGTTGTTTCTGTATATTGTAATATTTGTGATAACACTACATAATTGCAAAACATTATTTGTAATAGGAAATATGCAAGGATTACATAATATTCATGGGAGCTTTAATATTCCCAGCATGCAAGGCACACTTGCATCAAGGAACTCATCAATGAATGCTATTCCTTCAAATGGTGTTCAACAGCCTGCAGGAAGCCTCACAAATGGAAGATATACATCAAATAATCTTCCTATTTCTCTTTCTCAGGTTCTTACTAGAATTCTGCATGCTATGGAAGCCATACCTTGATCAATTTATTAACCAGAGAACAATGCAGTTTTAAATCCTTGTTTATAAGGGTACACCTTTATGCTTTTGGCATGCAGATATCTCATGGTAATTCACTTGGACATTCAGGGGTCACAAATAGAGGAGGTATAACTGTTGTAGGAAGCTCTGAACCTTGTAGCATGCTTTTATTATCTTTATGAGACCCCCTGAACTTCTATTGCCACCACTAACGGCTGTGTTTTTGCAGGATTGGGAGTTTCTCAAATTTTAGGAAACACAGGTCCTCGAGTTACCAGCTCAATGGGAAACATTGTTGGCAGCAATAGTGGCATGGGAAGGAGCTTAAGCTCTGGTGGATTGTCTGTGCCTGCTCTTGCTTCACGTATGAATTTAACAAGTGGCAATGGATCTGGTAGTCTTGGTGTACAAGGACCTAACAGATTAATGAGTGGTGTGCTTCAACAAGGTAGTGGCTTTGATCTCATTAAAGGCTGCCATTTGGTTTTGGATCCACTCAATACCCTATTGTTGACCCATTCCCTATTAATAGATTCAATTGACCATATGTTGATAGTTTGCATTGTAACTGTTGGTCTTTCAGTAATTGGTTGTGTATTGGAAAATTTTGAAAATATATATTGTGCATGGTACAGAGAGCCTTTTAATAATTTTTTACCTTTTAATATCTTGGCAAGTTTTTTTTCCTCCTCTTCTCCATAAAAGAGGTAAAATGTGTAGGCACTCATCATAAGATTACCACCGAGACAGAATCTGATACAACAGTATAGATGTGCTTCTAAGGGAGATTGAGGAATTGAGGATCAATTGTAAATGAGGGAATCCATTTGACTCACCTGCAGTTCATTGATGACATAATTCTATTCATAGAAACAAGCAGATACTTAGTAGCATTTTCTCTATATTGTTACTGGTGAAATGTCACTGGAAAGCTCAGTTACAGTTGTTAGATAGATGCTTGGTTGTACAGAGGGTTTGTTCCTTGATGGGCAATACAAGTTTGGAGGCTTGGTTATCTGAGATGCTAGAGCCATTGGAGGGGGCTCTTTCTGTTCATTTTGAACAAGAATGATGTTTATTGAATTCTCAAGAAAGAATGGCTGCTGGAATTTTGTGTTGATTGCTGATCTTGATCGTGGGAGTGCATCAGAAATGATAAAAATTCCACCCTGATTTGGATCAACATCGCTTGTATTCCTCTTCATGCACAATGTATCCAGATCTTCAAGGCAATTGGTGATGTATATTAGTGTTTTATTGCTATTGATCAGAAAACATTTCTTGGAATCATTGGAAGGGGAATGATTTTTATCTAGGCAGAAGATATGTGTTCTGTTCCTTCTGAGATGGATTTTGTTTTCACTGATGAAAATTATGTTTCAGAATATTGGTTGAAAGTGAAGTTCTTTATGTCTATTCGAATTACTTTTTTTAGAATAAAAAATAAAGAATTAAAAAAAAAGTCTATTTGATTACTTGAGTGGTGGTAAAATTTTAGATTAGGAGTAATCTTACGACTAGGGTTATTCTCTTTGTGGAGAATTTTGAATTGCGGGACCTCCCTCTTCAGCAAGCAAATTTTACCTAGTCAAACTTCCAAGAAAGCCCTAACTGTTGTTATTTAGATAGATTCCTCTTTACAGTGGATTGAGAAGCCGAATGGGGGATTTTAGGTGTTACAACATTGCCGAGACCTGTTTCAGATCATTGCTCAATCAGGTTGTCTCAAGAAAGAGTGGGTGGAGGCCCGTGCCCTTTTAGGTTTGAAAACATGTGGTTACTTCATCCAGAGTTTCTAGCTAAGGGAAAAGAATGATGGGAAGTGGACCAAGTGGAATTCTGGTGGAAGGGATGTTTTACAAGAAACTACAACTCTTGGAAGATAGACTCAAGATTTGGAACAAAGAGGTTTTTGGTAGAGTGGAGGAAAGGAAAGTGGAAATCAGTCGGAGAGTGTAGGAGTTAGATACACTAAAAGCTGAAAGAAGGTTGGGGGAAGAAGGTAGGGTGGAAAGATGGAATTTGAAACATGAACTGGAAGATCTTCTTAGGAAGGAGGAGACAAGTTGGAGGCAAAAATCTAGATGCAAATGGCTAAAGGAAGGGGACAACAATATGAGGTTTTTTCATTCGTTGGCAAATGGGAGGAGAAGGAAGAATTTTTTTATCAAAATTGGAGTGGGATGGGCAATTGCTGACAAGGGAAGAGGATATAGCTCAAGCTTTGGTTAATCACTTCAAATTAGTGTATGACAACCCAAGGAGACCTAGTGAGAGCTTAGAGGACTTGGAATGGAGGGTGGAAGATAGTGTCTCATCGGAATCTTTGGAAAAAAGATTTGAGGCCCAAGAAGTGAGAAATGAAATCTTCTCCATGGATCGATCTAAAGCTCTTGGGCCTGATGGTTTTTCGATGGCCTTCTATCAAGATTGCTGGGAGATAATTGGAGAGGATTTGTTGGAGGTTTTTGAAGAGTTCTATGAGAGAGGCAAATTTAATTCAAGAGCAAATGCATCTTTTATGGCCTTGGTTCCTAAGAAGAAGGACGTTCTCCAACCAAAGGATTTCAGACCTATAAGCTTGGTGGGAAGCATGTATAAGGTCATCTCTAAGGTCCTAGCTCTAATTCTCTAATCTCACCGTATCAAGGGTTCTTTGTAGAAGGAAGACAAATTGTTAGATCAAATACTTATTGCTAATGAATGTGTTGAGGTGAAGAGGAGGAGAAAGGAAAAGGGTCTGGTTTGCAAATTGGATCTTGAAAAGGCATATGACATGGTGGACTGGGACTTTGCACTAGAGGTTCTCAAGCGTAGAGGGCTTGGGGAGAGATGGTGTAGATGGGTAAAGGGATGCATTTCTTCATGTCATTTCTCAATACTAGTGAATGGTGTAGTTAGTGGTTTCTTCCCTACAAAAAAGGGGTATTAGGCAAGGAGATCCATTGATTCCTCTTTACCCTAGTAGTTGATGTTCTGAGTGCCATGATTTTGAGGGCTGATGCTAACAATTTGATAAGAGGTTGGAGGATTGGTAGGGAGGAGGTGGTGGTCACACACTTACAATTTGCAAATGACATCATCTTGTTTTGTGATGGGAAGGGGAATTACGGAATTTAAAGAGACTAGTGCTTCAATTCGGAAGGAAATCCAATCTTAAAGTGAACTAGGGAAAAAGTTGTGTGCTAGGGCTCAATTTAGGGGGAGAGGAGGTGGATTCCCTAGCTAGGATTTTGGGGTGCGAAGTGGGGGACTAACCTTTACAATATTTAGGCCTACCACTGGGAGGGAACCCAATGGTTGAGAGTTTTTGGTACCTTGTGATTGAAAGATTTTCCAAGAGGTTAGCAAATTGGAAGTGGAATTACATCTCTTTAGGGGGTAGGATAACCTTAATCAAGTCAACCWTAGCCAACTTGCCAGTTTATTTCCTATCTACCTTTAGAGTACCAATGAAAGTAGCAAACTAGTTAGAGGAGATAATGAGGAATTTCTTGTGGGAAGTAGGGGACACTAAGAAGGATCACTTAGCGAAGTGGGAGGTGGTTTCTAGGAGTAGGGATGACGGAGGCCTTGGGTTAGGAAATATAAGATTAAGAAACACGGCTCTGCTGCGGAAATGGATTTGGAGACTACTGATAGAACATGATAGACTTTGGTCTAGAGTGATTGTTAGTATTCATGGATTGACAAATAACGACTGGGATGTAGGACATGACCCTAGGGCTTCTTAGTGTTCTCCTTGGAAAGCTATTCAAGGTATTTTGCCTCTTATGCTCCCATATTTCAATTATGATGTCTGCGCTGGAAATAAAGTCTTGTTTTGGGAAGATGTTTGTGTTGGTGAAAACTCCCTTAGAGATAGATTTCCTTCTGTTTACTCCTTGTCTGAAAACAAAAGAAAAGTGACCTCTTCAGTATTTGTTGATAACTCCTGGGATTTGGGCTTGAGAAGAGGTCTAAGGGATTCTAAAATGGGGATGGTTGATGATTTGATCACTCAGTTAGGGGAAGTCTTTTTTTATCAGTCTTGTAGAGATAGCAGAATTTGGAAACCTTCCCCTTCTGTTTTTTTCAATTGCTCTTCTTTTTACAACATTTTGCTTTAGACCTCTAACCCTGTAGGGAGCTTTCCTTCAAAAGAGGTGTGGGGTAGCCTTGTACCTATAACAATTCAGACCTTTTGTTGGGAAGTGGCACTCCAAAAAATCAATACCTTGGATTTATTGTAGAAAATGAGGCCAAATATGTGCCTCTCCTCCCATGTTTTGTAGTCTCTGCTTAGGTTCTAGTGAGACAATTCCAAACTTACTAATCTCATGTGCCTTTGTGTTCTTCATTTGGTCTTGGTTCTCTTCTCTCTTTGGCTGTAGGTGGACTCCCTCCCCCCCTCCCCCGAGTGTGGTGAACCTCTTTGATCCATCTTTTTGTAGGCAACCAAAGGTTCATGGAAGGCTTATGTGGAGAGCCACTAGAGCTGCTGTATTGTGGTTAGTGTGGGAGGAAAGGAACAATAGGATCTTCAAAGGTAGTTGTAGATCCAAGGAAGAGGTTGTGGAGGGAGTAACCACTAAGGTTATCCATTGGTTGAAATCCTGTGATCTTTTTAAGGTTTTCTCAGCTGAAGACATTTATGGAAGTTGGGGTATTGTGGCAACTACTACTTCTTCCAAAGCTATGATATAGGAAGTTTGGTCCCCACTGGCTCAAGAAAGGGTAAAATTGAACTTTGATGGAAGCTCTATAGGTAATCCGGGCCCATCTAGTATAGGAGGTGTTTTCAGAGATAATGAAGGCAAGATAATGGCTTTGTATTCAGGTCGAGTAGGACTTGGAGATTCCTTAAGAGCGGAAATCTTGGCACTACATCAAGATGTAAACCAGCCAAACAATTGGGGCTACAACAGATTGAGATAGAAGGGGACTCCAAATTGGTAATTGGGTGGATGCAATCAGGGAAGTTGGGCCATGTTTGGTAGTGCTTAAGTTAAAAACAAGTGCTTAAAAAAAGAATAAGCACTTATTTGCATTTGGCACCCAACTTTTTCAAGTGCTTATTTTTTAAAATAAGCACTTATTTTATATTGGGTGTTTGGTAGTCTTTTTCTCTAATAAACACTTAAATAAGCATTTGTGACTATTTTGTCCTTCATTTTCTTTCAAAATTTCTGAAAGCACTTTTATTTAATTACTTTTATAAAAACACCTTTCATACAAATGCTTTCATAAAATACTTTTATAAAATTCAACTAGGGATAATTTTATAAGTGGTATTTTAAAATTTAATTAGGAATAATTTTGGAAGAAAAAATTTGAATAAGTGCTTATACAATAAGCACTTAAAAAAGCTGGAAATTTGGGCTTAAAAAATGAGCCCTTATTTTTAAAATAAGCACTTATTTTGGGCTTATTTCCAAATACCAATAAGTGCTTAATGGTCCAAATAAA